GTAGTAGTAGAGAGTAGAGTAGAGACGAACAACTAACTAAACTAAACTAAACTAACGTAACGTAGTAGTAGGTAGGTACGGTAGTACGTGGTGTGAGAGAGAGAGAGAGAGAGAGAGAGAGAGAGAGAGAGAGAGAGAGAGAGAGGGCTTAAGAAAACAATGGAAGAAGGTCTTTACAGGTGTAAAGAGCCAACATCTGGGCCAACATCTGGGTCGCATGCTATTCGTGATCGATTTTAAATAGCCTTACAGGATTTTTAAGTTTCTAAAATGCCCTTGTTTCTCACCTGAAGTACAAACCTCTTGCTTTTTCATTGAAAAACTCTGCATAAGGTTTCAACTTTATACTATAGAAAAGAAAATGAGGCACACCTCAAAAACTCAATTTTCAATTAATCTTATCGACTTTAAAATATATAGATGTGAAAAAAATTATATATATTGTGAATCCGAAAAATTATACATCTTGTAATGTATCATCTAATTGTCATTTTTTAAGATTACGCTTGATTTGTACTATTTTGAAGCTTTAAATCTCATAATTATAAATGAAAGTAGATTTGAGGACCACCATAAAGATTTTCGGTACTTGGACGGCATCTTTTAACGTAAATTCGAGGTATACATTACTTCGATTGTTTAAGGCACCAACCTTAAACCATACCCTTTTCACATAATGTGCCATTTGGTGAACTTTGGGCCAAACTGTACCTATAGATTTCAAGCGGGATCGGTGAACTAGTTTCGAGCGGGCTCGACAATTTTTAAAATAATGCATTAGAGTGAGATTTATTATTAAGATTGTATAATGCATTAGAGTGAGATGTATTATTGAGATTGTAAAATGCATTAGAGTGAGATTTATTGAGATTATATATTATGGGACTATTTATCTATAGTACAAAGAGGTCACAGTCAATCATAGCCATCTGATGTTAAATTCAACAGCTTGGGAGAAAAACTTTAGTATTTAATATTGATTGTCTGGATGAAAGGAAATAAAACTGCAGACGCTTTAACTTTTGTGCAAATTTATTTTTATGTATTATTGATGGTCTCGATGAGATGATACCTGTTTGCAAGTATTTTGAAAAAAAAATTATCAAATGTACTATAACAATTTATTCATGTGTAACTATTTCAACTCATGATCACATGCCTTTATATTAAAAAATAGAGACAAAATGTTAAATATTTTGTTATAAATGAAAAGTTAATAGTTCAACTCTTATAACATGTAGATAAATTTTATTGCAGGTTATATTATGGTGCTCACATTATAGAGTACTTTATTATTGTACTCAACAAATTCTGGATACTTCTATGCGCATATTTTGTACATGGAGCATTTTTTAAAATAAATGTATTTTTATAAGGGTTGTGACATCATCCATATGGGTGTGATGTCACCTACATGAAACACACTTGTGGCATTTAATGTTCCATATGGGTGATGTCACACCACTTGTAATGACAAAAAATATATTTATTAAACAAAACTTCATGTACAAAACACGGGTATACAAATGTCCAAATTTTATTGAGTATAATGTTAAATTACTCTATAGTGTGAGCAACATAACATATTTTGTTGAAATGGAACAAGTTAGTATCTTTTAGGAATTGGGCTTGGGATTAAGTGGTTAGCAATTGAGTTTAAAAGTGCTGCATATCAAATTCAATTCCTACTACTTGACTTACTCAAAAAAAAAAAATTTATTTTTCCTAAGTTGCTCATGTTTCCTTACAATCTTGGGCAGTGATTTCATGAAACGGCTGTATCATACTATGATGCAACCACACTTAAAAAAAAACCATGTTTTTTTAGTATTTGTATGACCCAAAATTTTGCACACACGCTCTCTTTATCTCAATAATCAATTCCAAAAAAAAAATTAAGTTTAATTTGAATCCTATGGTCAAAATGAGTCCCTTCCAACAACGAATCTAGACCATCCATTTGGTGAATATCAAAATCTTAGTCTTTACAAACTCAAAATCATTTTTTCCGTTTTGAACATTATTCATCTAACGATGGTAAAGTTATCTAAAAAAATAGGAAAATAAAAAATCATTCTAAGACCTAGATATAAGCTTCTTATCAAAGTAAATAACCTATGTTAATTGGGCTAAAAAAAAAATTTTTTTTTTTTTTAAATTGTTCATTCGAATGAAAAAATATATATTTTAAAATTTGAATAAAAAAAATAACCCTAACATAAATTTTAAAAATTATTGCATTATATTACTATGTAACCGTTGCATAAAATTATTTCCTGCAATCGCCACCGCTTTGCCCATGGCACTTTCGTAATTTCCCACTAACATAAGAGTACTTTGCATGGCAATGGATGTAGTGGACTTCTAAGAAGGAGGAGGACATTTTTGGAGAATATGCCCTTTATCTGTTGAAGGTGGGGAACAATAAATAGTATGCAGGCCCACAAGATGTCTTTAAAGTAGGAAAGCGCCAACACTTCCATTCAATGCCGATTCCTCGGCGATTATTTGAACGATCAAATTCAAAGAGAAATTTTCAGGTTTGAAGCATTCATTGCCGAGCGAGGAGACGAAGGGCGCGAAAAGAGTTGCATCTCAATAGCCCAATGTTGCCGCTGGGGAGTCTTATTCCGTTTGGTGTGTAAAAGGAGGGGGAGATTTCGGACTATTGTTTTTAATTTAATATAAATAAATTAAATATTTTTATATAAAAATAATAAAAAATTAAAAATAAAAAAGTAAAAAAATACTTTTATATATATATATATATATAGAAAGATGCTACGGTACGTCGATTCGTGTACCGTTACAGTATACGTCGAATGGCTTTGATCGAATCTGAGCCGATCTGATGATCACGGATGTCCTGAAATGTTTCATTTTTTACTTTATTTTTTCTACCAATCGGAATAATCTGAAATTTGGAGCCTGTGTTCATAAAAAATAGGTGAATCAATGAAAAATATCAAAAAAATATTTTACATGGAATACATTTACCAAAATACCGTCAAAAAGTTTCAAGGGTATTTTGGTTAATAAATTTTTTACGAATTATTTTTTTATATTTTTATTAGGTGTACATCACTAAGATGTACACACGCTCGAAATTTCAAATCATTCTGATTTGTAGAAAAAAATTCAAATTCAAACACTCTCGAACAACCGTGACTGTCAAATCAGCCAAGATTCGATCTAGCCGTTGGGCATTTACTGTAGCGGTACGCACATGGGCGTACAAAAACTTTTTCCATATATATATATTTATTTATTTATTTATTTATCCGAATCTGACTAAAGCAGCAATACCAGGCTTCACTTCACTTCGTTCAAGGCCTAAAATCCAAAAGCTTCAACGACTTCAGCCGAAGCGAGGCGAATTTGACAACATTGTAAAAACCATATCAAAAAAATATTGTTTTGATGTTGAAAAATCCTCTAGTTCACAAATCGAGTATTGGTAGGAAGCATAAAAAAGATTTTATGTTCTAAAACTCGTGTCTTATTTACGCATTATCTAGACTGTTTATTTTTTAAAAAAATATTATTTATAGATCTGCTCGATCTATTCCATTTTTAAAGTTTTAAATTTTATAATTAGGAGTGGAAGTAAACTTTTAAGCCAAGTAAATGTTTCTGATACGAGAAGTGCATATTTTATATTGCATTTTTGGCTGGATTTTTGAGGTTATGCCTTACATAAACCGCACCCATAATGTAAATGATTGTATCATTAAAATGAATTTTGCTAACCAACCTATTACGATATATAAATCTCGAGAAATTTAACATATTATTTATAAGAGTATGAATTTAATACCTTATCCGTATCTTTTGATTTAACTTCAAAATACTGATAGGAAAACACAAGATTTCAAGTTAAAATAGCTGCAAAAATATTCATCTCTTATAATTATTTTAATAAATTTCCCAATAAAAATATAAATTAACAGAAAAGAGGGTGAAAAGGGGTCTCTTTTTGCATGAAATAGTCATTGTAAAACGGCCTCATATCATTGTGAGAAGATGATCGTGCTAGCGTTCAGATGAGGTTACCAACAAATTATTTTAAAGAAAATATCACCTAAATCCTAAAATCATCTTTCAAAGTAACTACAGTAGAACCATTTACTTACATTTTAAGTTTCATTACATTCAGATACCTCCTAAAAATTATTTTAAAAAATATCTTAACTGCACATTCCTCACATTTCGGGTCCCTCCAGGTGACTTCTAGTAATATGGCTGCAGTAAAGTAGGCCCCTCCTAGTGACAAAGACAACCCATTGAGAGTTTTTTTTTTTTTGGAAAAAGTTTATATAGAGCTGAAGCTCTAAACAATTAAATTAGAGCTTAAGAGGCTGTTTTGATGCTCAAATATCCTCAAATTAATCATCTCAACATCAAGATGCATGGACATGAGAAAAAAATGGATTTCAAGTTTTGAAAATAGTATATTTTGCAATGTATTTTAGCACTGTAAATATTTAAGATTTTCAAGTTTTCATAAATATGTCAATCTACACTATTTTTTAAGCTTTAAATTTTATAAAAAAATATGAAAATATATTTTAAGGCTATCACAAAGATTTTCAGTATTGAAACCATATTTTTAGACACTATTTGACGTTAGGCTCTAATTTGATTGTTTAGAGCCTAAGCTCTGCACAAACTACACTCTTTTTTTTGGTGGCTAACCTAAGCACGGTCATCCTGATGCAAAATAACTAGGGTTTGGGCCACAAAATGTGGATCAAGGCCAGGCCCCTTTGGCCTAGTTTGGGTTCGGAATGCTTATCCTGTTGTTAGCCATATTCCCAGGCAATTTGGGATTCTTTGAATAAACTTTTTGAGAAAGTACCTAAATGTAAGGAAACTTAAGAACAAATATTTACGTAGTTAGGGAATTTTGACCATTTGAATGATTTTGTAAGATATTGGACAATTGAATGACATTTTCCCATTATTTTGACCTCTAATTATGCTATGATTAGAGAAATAAATGCTATCGAGTAAGTAATTCTTGGTTTGAGTTATTGCTCTTTATTACTAACAGATAATTTAATATCTTGTTTTCTCTTATCTATTTCAGCTAACTTTCTCAAAATTGTTATTTTAGATATTGAGAACATCTTCATAGTTCTACGATAACGATCAAAGTAAGGCATAACTCAAAATCAAGATGGGCTTTTAATTTTATGAAATCCTGAAATCTATTTTTATTCTTAATTATGAAATTTAAAGTCCTATAATTGAAAATCTTGAAAATGAATAGCCCAAATAGTATGTTATAAGCTCTACTATTTTAAAACAAAATCTTTTTGATTTATTGCTTTATTAGATTGTATGCTATGAGATGATTTACTTTTATATATATATATATAAAAGGTGACAATTACACCTAGCAATTCAATGTCAAATTGGATGGCTTTAGAGGGTGTTGTGAAGTTCAAAAAAAAGGTTTTTGAACTTTGAACTTAATCAATAACATACTCAATTCCACTCAATTTGAAAGTTAAAAAGACAGATGGATTATAAACTCACAGGGCTAAAAACAAATGGTTTTTTTTTAAAAGACTAAAAAAAATTTTACAATTTTGCAATCATTAATATTTCAAATGATGAACAGCATTTACAGTTGCCAAAATTACACATCCTAGCATCTCACACTCACACTGCGGATCACAAACTCCACAATAAAAACCACCACCAAAACCACCGGCAGTACCCCGTCAACCCTTCTTCCCCGCACCCCTCCGTACGCTATAGTCACAGGGAACCGACACGTGTCATCACTTGGATTCACTCGTGTGACGACCCCAAGCCCCGCAAAATCACAGTCACCCTCGTTTTGCCCCATCCTCTGATAATACGCATTGAAACCGTACGATGCGTTCCCCATCCTCCCAAGATGATTACACGTGGACCCATATCCGAGGGCCGTACAGTCAGCCAGTCCACAAGCGAAGCTCACGGCCTCGGCCACACCCTCTAATTCGGATGCCTCCGGATCGAGAACGCACCACCTCCGATCCATGTACTCCACATGACTCGGTCCCACGAGAACTTTCAACTCGGGGCCGAGTTGGAGCTGGTACTTGGGCTTTCCATCGTACTCGAAGAGGCCCCAATGCCTCTCAAAGCTCCCAGGCGCAATGGATTTCGAGTCTTCGTCGATGAGGCTGAAGAGGAAGACCTCAATGGGCCCACTTCGAAGTGGGGTCCCCTCCTGGCCCGACACATGGCGGAGGAGGCCTTGGTTGAAGCGGTTCGCATATGCCACATTGGCACTCGGATCGCCGTCCGTTGGCCACCCCACCTCGCCGATAATTACCTGCACATGGGGTTTGATGAAATCCTATACGTCTCAAAATCTATATCTACTCCCTCAGTCGGACGACCTTAATTGGGAACCCATAGAGTCACTAAATAAAATAATAATTGAATTCATAACACTTGGATCTCATCCTTTAAGACAGACTCAACTTGGCCAAGGTACTCATCTATTGGCTCTCGAACGAGTCCGAGTAACTCTTTCGTATCCATCTCAAGTTAAAAAATTAAAAAAAAACGATACTCAATTTGGCCAAGGTACTCATCTATCGGCTCTCGAACGTGTCCGAGTAACTCTTCCGTGCCCATCTCAAGTTAAAAAATTAAAAGAAAAACAAAACCAACAAGTTATTTACGTAACATAATTTCAAGTTTGAACGATTAAAACTCAATTAGCGCTCTAGAGGTTGAGAGATCGAATCCCACCATGGATGTCATTTTTGAGCGCCCTGTACTTAATGACCCAAAAACCCCTCAAAAAATAAGGTTTTTTTTCACCTCAAAAAAAAAAAAAACCTTTATTTTTCAATAAAAACGAAGCTATTTACACGCTCTTTGTAATAAAACGGGCATACACTTAATATTCATATAAGCTTACACTATATTTGGCCTTGCGAGTCCTAGTAACTCCCGCCCGAGTCCGAGTTGGCTTGGGCGAGTCACAAAACATTGCTCCAAAAATTGGACGGTCTTTATTCGATCTTGAGACATTATTCTTTTCAAGTATATAGAGGGTGTAATTAGGAACTTTTTTCTCTTGGGATTAATTTAGATGCTGAAGAGGTTACATCTCCAAATTTGGAGTCCTAAACTTAATCCTAAATAGAGTTTTACCCAAAGGAGTAAATGGATAGTATACTCCCGTGGCAGTGCAAGAGCTTATGGCTAATCTTCAAGCCCTTTCTATAATACAATTTTGCTTGATTTGCAGTGGTGGTGTACCAATCTGGGTCAAAGAAGTCTACCGGTCTGATTTTCAGCCCACTTAATACCACACAACGTTTTGACCCTCTTCTTCTTTTGCTCTTTTTTTTTTTTGCGGTTTCTATAAGGTTGTAATCTTAAACAATCCAATTAAAACACAACTCCAAATTTTATCATAGCTTATAATGTTGGTGTAAAAAAATATTAGTATTATCTTAAACTCTATTTTCATAACTAATTATAAAATTGTAAGCTCCAAAAATGGTTAAAGTCAAATATATGAAAACCTTGAAAATAGACGGTTTAAATAATGTGTTGCAAGATGCATTATTTTTTAGTCTCAAAATCTTTTTTTCATATTCGTACATTTCGATGTCCAGATGATCAACTATAGGGGTTTTTCATAATTAAAACAACATTTTCAAATTGATTTTTTATATTTTTTTAAACTTCTTTAATGTTTTCTTACGTCTTCTCAAATCCCCATCTTATAAACCCCATTCATTTTTATTTTTATTTAATTTTTAATTTTTTAAATCACCAATTCCGACCGATTCAAACCTGACACAAATCATAGTTCTGAGACTTCAGAGGGTAAATTTCTCTATAAAAATGAAAGTGGTGTAATAGTAATTTCTCTGCGTACCTTGATATCCGGGTACCCGGCCTTCCTCAGGGCCCACAAGAGGGTGTCAAGATTGGCGTCAAAAACGTTGGTATAAGCGGTGTCACCGTCGAAAATAGGCGTCGAGTTGCCGTCAAAGAACGCAAAATCCACCGGAAAATGACGGTCAGATTGCAAGCTGAGGAAGGGGTAAATGTTGACGGTGAAAGGGGCGTCATTTTCCGATAAGGTTTGCAAGATTCCGATGACAGCATTTCTGACATCCGGACGGAAGTCTCCGGAAGAGGGGAATGGGTCAGATCCCGGCGAGAAGTAGACGTCGGCGTTCAAGGGGACGGTGGCCTTGATGTGGTGGCCAAGGCCTGCGTCGTCGAGGGCTGATTGGATATTTTGGAGGGCAGGGAGGGTGAAATCGGCGAAGGTGCCGTTGTAGGTCTCGAGGAAGGGCTCGTTACCCACTGCGACATACCTAGAGAGAGTGAGAGAGCTTTAGAGGATTCTGGGCAGCAAGTCAAGTGAAGTGAAGAGTGCGGCCGCGGATGGTCTAAAATCTCAACGTTTCAAAAATATATATATATAAAACACATCAAGTTCTCAAAATTATTGTGAATCAGATTGGTTTAATTGAAATTTAAAATATTTAAAAATATAAAAATTAATTTAAAAATATGAAATATATTATAAAAAAATTATCATTTTATTTGACAGGTTGAATAAGCTGAAACCAATCAAAACCAACCAACCAAATATTGATTTTGACTATTCATTTTTATTTTAGCCTAAACCAGCGAATATATCAATCAATAGTTCGACTAGTCATACCACCATTCGGTTTAGTACGGTGTAGAGAAGAGAGTGAAGATTTATAAAATAAAAAAATAAAAACTTTATGATGGCTCAACCAAAAGCAAGAGAAACCTTTAAAATTTATTTAGACATATCATTTTAGCGTTGAAAACTTTAGGATGGCTTCAAAATCTCTTTTTATCCGAGTTATGAAATTTTTAAAAAAGATCAAGCAGATCAAAAAACACTTAAAAACATTAGAAGTAGACGGTTTAGATAACTTGTTATAAAATGCATTATTTTTTAAATTTAAAATTCTTTTTTTCTTTATATCCATTCATCACAAGGTCGCGATGATCAATTAGAGGGTTCTCCTATGCCGAAACATTCTCCACTTTAGGATTTTTTATGTGCACCTTATTTCAACAAGATAAGGTTGCAACCTTATATAACTTTTTCCGTAAAAAAATTCAATCAAAAGTTACCAATCACCATAGAATTTTAAGAATGACATGTTTCAATTCAGCCTCTCCTCCCAAGTACCAAAGTTATGTTTAAGAAAAATCAAATGTTTGGCACGGACATTTGGGTTTGATGCTCTATATCAGTACGCTCTTGCAACATCAAAACAAAACCCTAATTCGAATTTTTTAGGATGTTAAATTTTGCGAAAGGAAACCTTGAAACACACTCTTTAGAAAGCAATGCACTAGGATTATAAAATAAGAATAAAATATAAAAATTCAAAGTACAAAAATTTCGATTACAAGAAATCATTTTTGGAAAGGAGATCTCATGACATTTAATCCTCATCGGTGCCTAAACTAAGCCTTAATTTGCAGATAACTAAGATAGACTTTACATAGCCCTATACCAACCTTATTGAAATAAATCATAAGTAAATAATACAAAAAAAGGAAATTAATCTAATGTTCAAAGTTCAAATTACCCACTTCATATTGTTCCCATGTAAATCCTGTAATTACTTGATTTGGCATAGGTGACTTCATTAGGTCATCACTATTAAGATGTAACTTTCAATAATAATAATTTTCACGTACAAAAATTCTTTAAGAGGTACCTAAATGATTTTTTTTAAATAATTAATTTATCAATAAATTTGCTCGTTTTAATCGCCACATGAATTCTTTAAAGGAAAACGTTTAGGCCTTTTATACTAAGAGACCACTTACCTTTGTTACGAGAAAGTTATAAATACCCCGAGCAATCCGATTTCAAATTAGGCACCTTGGATTATGTCATGGAGTTGGAGAAATTTTTTTGTCCAGACTTTGAACTAAGTCAGTGACACAGTCGCAACCACTTGATTTGAAATCTAACGGATAGGAATAATTGTGACTTCCTAATACTAAAAGTAGATAGTCGCTTTGTATACCTTTTATAAAGTTTATATAAAATTGCAACGTCATTTGTATAAGTAAAGATGCATCAATCTAAACCGTTCATCTTACTTGGACTACGCCAAATCTACATAAATATAAACGGCATAGAAAAATAAGGTTGCCACCTTATATAATCCCGCACCCTTCATCGAAATGGGTAGGGGTAGCAATGGTTCGAGTGAAGTCGGGTCCAAGTGGACCCAGAACCAGACCCAAAAATATAATGTGAGACTCAGGATCTAATCCAAAAATTAAAATATCTATGTATTTAATAATATTTAAATATATATCATAAATTAAGACCTAAAAAATATTTCAGGACCCAAATCGAATAATGTTTGGGTTTAAGATTTGGACCCAGACTCAATCCGCTAGGTTAAATTTTTGAATCCATACCTAGAGCCGGATCGGGTCTACCTCTTGGATCCCCGGTCCATTGCTGGGTCGACCATTTTGACATTATTTTCTCAATAAACAAACAAACAAATAAGAGATATATTTTTTTTCCATCAAATAAAATAAACAGGCACATGAAACTTGTAATTTTGAAGGGAAGGGAAGGGAAGGGAAGGGGGAAATTGTACTTGCTTGATATTAACTCCACCATGGTAGGCATATCTGGTGACGTTCTGGGCTACCCAATGATACGCGAGCTGTGCATCGGTGGTGATGGGTTGGAGCATGTAATTTGGGACGGCGAGCATGACCTCCAAGTGGGTCCCGAGGAGGGCTCTGAGGGCGGTGGGGTCCGCATCGAAGAGCTTCACTTTCTTGAAACCGCTGTTGAGTATCATCTGAACCACCATCTCAGGGGGCAGCTCGCGAGACGCCATTCTACCCCAGTTCACGCCCACACCGTACACGACTGGTGCATACACAACCGCCATGAGAAGGAGTGATGGGTACAGCTTTGCCAGGAGAGAAGATTCCGCCATGGACGGACCTCTGGTCTAGATAGAGAGAGACAAGCTTTGGCGGAGCTGTCGTTTGGACTTTAGAGAGAGAGAGAATCTTTGTCTCTGATTTCAAATGGGGCTCGGGGTTTCTTTCCAACCACAGGGAGAGAAGGCATTGGCTGTGTTTAAGAGGGCGTTAAATTTCTTTCCCCAGAGAGAAGAGAGTTGTTGAAATCGGTTTCTTTACCAATTACCACCAGAGAGAGAGAGAGAGAGAGAGAGAGGTTAAAATCTTTTTCTCTTAATTCAGGTGATAATTGGGTTTCTTTTTCACAAGACAAAAAGTGGTGAATCTTGAAAAATCTCCCTCTCTACGAGCAAATGGGAACTGGGTTGGAGAGAGAGAGATGCTGTCAAACCTGAGAATTGGGTTTTCTTGGCACCAGAGAGAAAGAGTGGGGCGTCTCTTGTTAAGGCGGAGCTACATGAGAGAGAGAGAGAGAGATAGAGAGAGAGGCGATAGGAGTGCGGTGCCCTTGGTTCTTTAAATAAGGGGCGCGGCGCAGAATCATAGTGTTGCTCCTCCTGCGTTGAGAATGGAGGGGCAAAGTCTCTCTCTCACTGCTCCTCTTATTTAAAGAAGGAATGGCTCAGTCCTATCGCCTCTCTCTCTCTCTCTCTTTCTCTGTGGCTAAGAGCAAATGCTTGCAGCACGAAAGTGTAAAAAATGGAGGCAGGGTGTGGGTTCCACAATATCTTGCATTAAAAAAAAGATATTCATGGGTTTTAGCAGCATAGAAAATAATTCTTAGGTTTTTCCTTCTTCCTTTCACCCCCTCCTACGTGGGTCGGCGCCTCATTTAAAGAAGGGCCTAAAAAAATACCCTCATCAAATTAAGGTATTTTACTAATTTCACTTCAATAGCAGTATTTGTCCATATGTCGATAACATTCTAAGGTATTTTAATAAAGAAAATTGTTTCATGCGGGGTAAACAGCGTTTCTACAGTACGCGGTCCAGAAATGTAAAACATCCATGGATGCAAATAGGACGGCCCAAATGTTTTCTCAACATAATTATTATTCTTAGTTTTTTTTTTTTTCATTTTCGTGATGATCTCCATGTTAAAGACTATATACTCTATAAAAATTAAGATGAAATTATATTTAAAAAATATATTTATTGCCAAGCCCGCATTTTTACATATGCCGGCTTGGCCGCATAAAAAATCGGGTCCTTTTAATAAGGGTGTGGTTTGCATAAGGTTGCAACTTTAAATAATCCAATTAAAGCACATCTCTAAATTTTATCCTAAATATAATTTTGGTGTAAAAAATTCTTAAGATGGCATGATAATCCATTTTATAAAATTTAAACTCTAAAAATGGTTCAAATCAAGTAGATCAATAAACACATAGAAAATCTTAAAATGGACAGTCTAAATAATGTGTTGCAAGATACACTATATATCGAACTCAAAATGTTTTTTTCTTTCAATACTCATATTATATATCAATCTCAAGATGATCAATTAGAGGGTTTTCCAACACCAAAACAACCTTTTTACAATGGATTTTTGAGGTGCACCTTAAATCTACATTTTAAGATTGCAACCTTATTTATTAATATTTGTCAAAAAAAAAAAGAAAATGATTTCAACCTTATATAAACTTTTTCCTTTTAATAATTTGACCATTTTTTAATTGTGTTGGATATAAATACTCGTATTTATCTATAGGTTAGGTACCCAGTTCTCTCAATAGGAAAAATTGAGCTTGAAGATCCTAAATTTTTGAAAGGTGAGGTTTGTATAAATTGCCCACCTTATACTGTAAAAGTAAAAAGCACCTTTAAATTTTGTTGGAAGATGTAGTTCCGATGTAAAAAACATTACAATGGCTTTAAAAATTCATATTCAACCCTAACTATGAAATTCAAAATTCTAAAAATGGTACAAATCGAAAAGATCTATAAACACTCGAAGATCTTAAAAATAGACAGTCCAAACAACTTATTACAAGATGCACTATTTTTTACAACTTGAAATTCCTTTTTTTCAATATCATCAATTTGAAGGTTTTTCAACTTCAAAACTCTTTCTACTTTTTGAAGTGCAACCTTCTATGGTATAAGGTTAAGGTTGCAACCTTATAAAACTTTTCCATTCCTGAATGTATGTTATTTGGTTCATGCCACTCAAATCAATCAAAACCTCTATCTTCATGCTAGGAAACCAAAACAAACATTCCAATGGAATGAGAGAAGTACTAGGTTCCAAAGCCCGAACATTCGAAAACTCATTTGTCATCTTGCTAAGACCACCATAATCTGACCCAAATAACAAAGATACACCTCATACAAGTTTAACAACTCGAAATAAGACATTTTAATATAAAAAACATGCACTGAAATCTCCTCGTAAAAAAAAAAAATGCTATGAATTCATAAGACTTCAAACAAGCGTGATATTTCCATCATTAGATTTGGGTAGCTTAAAAAGAGCCATATCACCAAAATGTCAATGGCCGGTCGAAATAAAAATCAAGCTCAGTAAAAAACTAATTAAAACCAGTATTTGACACGTTTGAATGCTCCAGTTAGCCTGTTTAAAGCAATTCAACTAAACAAGCAAAATAAGAAACTTATTTTTTCTAATATATAACATATTTTTAAACTATTAATCATTTTTTTTAATATTTTCATAATCCAATCAAACTGATTCGATGGGCAAGCAATTTTTTTCTGATTAGACCAGGCTACTTAACGGTTCAATGGCAAGTGAGATCCTTATAACATTGCCCATAATCGTACATTTTGCAGCCTCTGATCATTAAAATGCAAGTTGGCCAAGTCTCTCACCAAAAGAACGCTTAATTTTTTTATTACTACCATTGTTGTCACTGTTCTTGTTGTTCAATTTAAAACGCAATACATATTGCTTTGACATTTTTTGGATGAGTAGTATATTATTTACAAAAGGAATTCACTTGGAAACCAAGTAATTTAATAAATGGGGCACATTGGGTATTAGTCCTTTTCCTGCTAATACAAGACTTGAGAATATCTTTTTGACCTTTAGAGGATAAAGGGGAATCTGTCTACATAAGACTTCAGCTTTCCAACATGTCTCAACTTCTTGTCACCATACAAATTGGTGGGTGGTTTGTGCTGAAACAAATGGAGAGAGAGAGAGAGAGAGAGAGAGAGGCATGCTACACAAACACAAAAGCAAACAAAAGGGAAAAGCATGTATACAATGGCAAAGATGCAACAAAAGTTTCATTCATTATGTAGGAAAAAGGAAGAGAGAGAGAGAGATCTTAATGTAAACAAAGAATAACAAAGAAACAAGGAACCGTCATGAAAACATACAAGAGAAAAATGAGATAGAAATACTTCAAAAATAAATAAATAAATAACAGAAAGAAGCCAATAGAAAAGAGATGATTTGGGGGGCCACTCTTTCCACATGGCCCGTGTGGAAAAGCCTTGCCACCCCTAACTTTCTTACAAGGAAAGAAGAAATGCCACAAAGGCTTGAATCTGTTTCTGACACAAAAGAGATGAAGGAAAGAAACCTGTAGATACCAAAGATTTTATCCTTTCAATTTGGAATCACTTATCTTCAGACGGAAGGTATAGCTATGATAGCCCTCAAAAAAAATTCAGACTGGACTCTTCAGACTAATCCTTTTCGAAAAAGGACAAATTCACCTGACTTTATCAAAGTTCACTTGCAATTTTCTACATTAATTCATGGTATAATAGTAATAACTTTGGAGATTCAATTCATCTTTTCTGAAAGTTAGTTGTATTAATAATACTAGTACATATGAAGGGACAATCAGGAACGGTACTTAAAAAGGCTCCAACTCGCCAGGGGGTCTGAGCTCCAGTCCTCCTGGTCTGACCTGGGCGGGTCCCGAGTTAGACAGTGAATTATCAACAAGAAAAATCTACGGAAAAAAAAAAAAAAACCAAAACAAAGGGAGACCTAGGTGATTGTAGGGTTTTACAGCTAGAATAGCCAGCCTCCAATCTGGTCCACCATGGGCAAGCCATTAGTAGGACTGCCGATTTTCTAAACATTGGTGAGGAGTATGGCCCTAAAGAAACCTATCATATTTTCTAACCATAGTTTGCAATCGGGTTCTAATGAACTAAAGTTAATCAGAGTTAAAAAACCACAAAACCTAAAACAAAGAGATAGGAAACCAGAAAGTGCCCGGTATTTTAGCCTTGAGCAGAAATCCAGGAAAAGACTGTTATTAGTGAGGAACCGACCATTTACCATAAAAAGAAAAAAAATGGAAAAATAACGAGCCCACATAGAATTACAAAGAAAACCATGAAGCAGTGAATGCTTTCCTATTAAGAAAATCACCTCAAAGCTGATGAGAAAACACAATAGAAAGCATAGAACAGGCAATTTGATAAAGACTCAAATCTAACCAAAACTTTGAATTTTGCTTGACAAAAAATAGGGTCAACTCCAGGCCTGTTCAGGTTGTGACCCTAAGTCATTGGTTGAGTTGTTTTCACATCCAGCTAGACTCTGTGAATCTACTACATTCATGTATCTCTTAAAGGAGGAAACATAAAAACAAAAATACAACAAAATACAATAATCTAAAATCAAACTGTATATCATTGCCAAAAATTAGGCATCGTATTCCATTATCCAAATCATGTACACTTCTAATCTTGTACTGGTAGGGGATAGGAACCCCAAAAAGCAACTTTTTTCTTGGAATAATTTACCCTAAACTAACAAGAGAATCAAAATTGAGAGGACTCTCGATGTTCAGAGAACCAGAACGGAACCCATAATTCCGGATACCCATAAACAACTCACAGTTGGTGATACGCAGAATCAAATACTAGTTTGGGGGACAAAAACCCAAACCTCAAATTTGAGTGATCGAATCTCCATTCGCCCATTCAACATGCTCATTCACCATGGCATCTTGGAAGCAGGTTTCCTCTGGCAACCTAAAACTTAGACACATCATTATCTGAACAAAGAAAAGATATAGTCAGGTCAAGAACAAAATTAAATAAACAAACTCAAAAGAACACACCACCAATGTGTAGTTCATTCCCATTAAGGCATATTTATTACAAACCAGAGAATTACATTTATATTGTATATTTTTGTACTTTTTATAGTTCTCAGATGTACACAATATGCCCTGCTTTGTAACTAGTGAATCTATATCATTGCATGAACATAATTCACAACTTCATCTCCAGAATCAACTCCCTCACAAGATTATAGATACATAAAACAAACTAAAACTATGTAGCTCTGCATGTCAACAAAAAAACAAGCAAAAAGATTAGGTTAACATCTAACATACATAACATATTTTTATCCAAAAATAGTTCAGCAACCAGAAATGGAGTGAAGGATCCCTGAAGGGAATGACCCCAACAGTGGAGGGTGATCACCAGAACTGGACTCGACCACAATGGTAGGTCCCACTCCATCACCATCCAGTGCAATGGATTGGGGTAACTCAATGGATATGGTTCTACAATTCATTAGCCATACTCCAATCCGCTCTATTGTAATAATACTGACTGCCTAGACTTGCTCTGATAGTCCATTACAATCTTCATGGGTAAACTATAAAGAAAATATATTGAAGAAATCATCATTTCATCTGAGAGAATTACCAACCTAGCATGATTGGCTCATCTTCAATCTTCACACAACAACAGGCAACAGCATTTGGATATGTTCACTAAAAGTTTGATGTCCAATAAGAACATTTTCTCCACATAACGACATTTTCTCACCTCTATGCATGCTCTTTATTGGTTAGTAATAGAAAACTCAAAAGCAATATTTTGACTACTCGGGCAAGTCCCCTCAAACTTGCCCGAGTCACTTGGGCTCAGCATGAAACCTCCACAAACAGGGTACATAATTTACATATAATTAGCTATATTTATTTTTTGATTGATTTAATCTTTGATCAAAATCAATTAGCTTTGACTTATATATAATTTATTTTTATTTTTTTATGGTTTTATGTTTCTTATTGATTTTTTTATTTTCTATTTTTTCTCTTACTCTCTTTTTCCCAAAAAACTGATTTAACCAGTTTCCTATTTCTTAGTCTTTGAAAAAATTTCCTCATCTTTGATAAAAAAAATTTTCATTTTTTCCTAATTTTTTTTTCATTTTTTTTGTATTTTTTTTTTTTTACCAGGTCATTAGGATGCTAAGGGCGGACACAGGCAGGTTGACTTGTACTCAACTGAATAACTCGGCTAGGCCATGAGCAAAGTTCCAAACACTGCTCAAGAGCAAGACTTTTACCATGATGGTGTATGACAATCAAATCAGTACGATGAATATTGGCAATTCAAAGATTCAGAAAACTAATATCATCTCCTGACATTCCTAAATTGGTGTACCTTATTTGGAGCAACATCCCTGACCAAATGAATTGTCGGATTTTGTATCTTTGCATTCAAAAAAGCCTCGGCCTCCTGCACAGCATTACCCCCAGGAAGAAAAAGAATGGGTAACCAACAAAAACCTCAAGTGAACATTCACTTTTTAAACAATATAATAAGAAATGGAAGGATAATCTACAGCAAAAGATGAGGAATTTCGTCAGCAGGTAAAAATTAAATCAATGAAATGAATCCCATGGTTCTTAGCCAAAATTTAAAACATACATAAAGGAAATCTATGGCCATTCATAAGATTTGCAAAAGGAAACTCACATGAATGATTGACTCTTTGGATTCATTTGATCGAATGAAGCAATAGCAATGAATCCAAGGGAGAGGTCCTTTCCAATATTTCTTTAGAAGTAGACCCTTGAAAACATCTGTTGTTGGAATCAACAAGGGAACAAGTAAATGTTGCATGAAATGCTAGATGTGGTTGAATGTTGCAAATAAGTAATTAGTCACTGACTAGTATAATTAGGAACTTGGTTGTTCATCAAGCTCATTTAGCGTGAGAAATGACAAATTGGGGAAAACATTTGGTCAGCCCAAGGGTGGACCTGGATAGTGTCTGCACTCGCACATTTGGGGGCCACGGGGTCATTAGTTTCGGCCAAATTGTGGTGCACAAATCCTCTTTGTCCCAGTGAAGAAGATTGTGAAAGAAATAATAATTAAAAAAAAATGGAAACTAGATTTTCTCGAGGAGAGAAAAAGCACCATGAATAGAACCCATCCATTTTAGGAAAGAAAAAATGATGTTAAATCGAGGCCCTGGACAGATTTAACCCAAAATTTGGTAGTTTGCTTCATTATCATCAGATAAAGAGTTAATAATAATAAAAATACTACTACTAATACTATAGATCAAGCCAACGATGAAATGGACAGCCTGCACTTATCAACTCCATAAACTCCATTTTTCTGATTCTTTTTCATGGGCTTCTTCATGAGGCCAAGAGTCGAAACAAATGCCAAAATAGGCAAGAGCAGACCAATGTAGCGCTGTCTTCCTGGGGGAGGACAAAATGTATTACCTAAATTTTGATATTAAAACTTTGGCAAAAATAAGTTTTCATATTAAAAAGCAACACGACGAGACTGCAATAACTGAAAATGGGCAACCCAAAAAAAAAAAAAGCACTTGGAAGATCCACTATTTTGTAGCCAAAAATTGGCAACCCATACTGGAAATTGAAATTAGAATTTAGGCAAGTAGCTACAAAATATCTTTTTGGCAAGTATCATAAAATGGAAAAGTTATTTCTTTCAGTAAGACTCCAATAAAAACATTATTAAATAGGTATTTGACTTGCATATTTTTGAAGAAGGGAAAAAAAGCCAAGAATTACAAAAACATCGGAAGATGACAAGAAAGGCTGAAGTAACCTACCAAGGAATTGCAGAGCAGACGCAGGCAGATTCATGATGATATGATCAATGTGCTCCCATGGATTAATTGACGATAACTTTAATCCTCTCATCCGCTTGTTAGTGTTTCCTTTTTTCCTACTCTTTGTGGAGTTCGCAGAACTCACTACTGTACTATCTGCAGAAGAAAAAGGACATGCAAGTATCTGTGGAAGCAAACCAAGACAATTCTTCACTTCCAAATCAATTCAGAAGCACATATTGTACCCTCAATAACAAACTCGGAAGAATATGAGAATGTATAGTACTATACTTTAATCCAACGGACTATGGTATACTCATAGTCCAATGTGTCCATCACCATCCAATCAAATGGACAGTGATGGTGTCAGAGTGGTTGGAGAGGGTCAAGTCTTGTCTTGGTGGATTCTGCACTCTCTCCATCACAGTCCATTTCATGGGTGGACGATGGCCACATTGGACTAGTTAGTAGTTACTACATCATAACAAGTTGAATTGTAGTATATTTCACTGAAATAATTTATTTGAGCCTTTTACCAAACTATATCTCTTCAATGAGAACCAACAGCTCAAATTAACTGGAGAAGTTGTTGGCTTTTTTCCACATAATTGACTAATATTCTTGACTCTAATACTGTATATCAAAGCCTTCGAGAAAATTGCAATCGGAACTTCCTAGGACACTATTGAAGCCAATTCCACACATCTTAATATGAATAAGTGAATTCAAAGTGAGACAATGGGTTACGAACCCACCTCATATTAGCTTCTTTATGGACACACATCAGCAATACAAGAAAACTCAAGAAGATATCTGGCTTATTTGATTTAAAAGTTGGATACTGAAAATTAACTTACCCTCAAAGACTTTCGCAAATTGGCTTTCTTTTTTATTTTTGAGAAGAATACAAATGTGAAAATAAGGTAAAAAAAAAATGACTGGACACTAAAAGCTGTAACATTGTATTTTAAACTGTCTTTTTAAAATGACTTTTCAAATTATCAATGAACTATGATCCAGGTTTGCATTACATTGAGTTACACTAAAAGCTATTAAATTGAATTTTATATTAGTTTTGGTACATAACTACAAATATGTCCAGATCTCAATAAATTATGACCAAGGCAGCATTTATGACGAGGAAGAAATCGAAAAACAAATGTCTAAAATTGATTCAAGGAGTTCACTTCATTATTCAAATCACCCACTTCCAGATCAACTTGAGTCAGACGAACTTTCTGTTTTTAGCTTCATTATGGACTTACAAGTTTACTTCATTTACAAGATGGTGTTTGCCACCTGTATTTTAAATTAAAAAAATAGTGCCTAGAAGGAATGGTTTCAAAAGCCATCTCTTGCCAATCAATTCGCAACCTCATTCAAGATCCTCCATGATCGAAGATCCACTATCAGACCGGTTTATTAATCACTGTCTCACACAATAGTGAATAAATTTACTTAGAACTGTCTAGGTACTATAATCTTTAGTGACGAAATCTCCCATAAGCCTTATATTCAGCTGTCTTCCATCAACATAAAGAAACATGCCCAAGCAGACCCTACTACTCAAGGACCACTACTACATCAATGAAAAAAATTTCTCGTAAGATAAAAAATTCACTTTTCCTGGAAAAAGAAATTACCTTTCATACTCCCAGGCTTAGAATCTTCTTCAGCATCACCTATGATATTAGATCATCAAACTTGAGATGAATAGCATGTGTACTATTTGTTTAGTTCAAGAGAAAGAAAAAAGAAATCTTAATTCAAAAAATAAAGCTTACCTGTAGAGCTGCAGGTCTCAGAGTGTGGAGTTCCATCACCAGAAATGCTGCATACTTCCTCGGCCTTAACGGCATCAACTGGTGTGTCAGGATTGATTGGGCCAGCCATTAGTTGGTGCATGAAATGTCTCGCATCCATATTATATGTGCAAACATATTCCTCAACCTTGTTGATCTCTACATTAGTGCGTAAATATTGAACACTACTTGGATTTAAATCATTTGCAAAAACAATACAGCCCTTTTGCGCAGCTGGAATTGCAAAAGGACCTACACCAGCAAACATATCAGAAATGATCTCTCCTGGCTTAAATAAAGAAACTAGTCGCATATGTTCATGTTCCAGTCTTGAGTTCCAATAGACCAAGCCATAATCAAGCTTGAAAGTAGCTCCATACTGCTTTACTTCCGTGACCATGTCATCTTTGCCAGCTAAAATCTCAAATGACGGTACTCTGAATTCATTTGTTATTGTTCCAACTTTATTCGCAACAGTCTTGATTTTGGGATGGTTTTTCTACATCAAAAGAAGAAAGGGGAAAAGAAATAGCATTCAGAGAAATTCCTAACTGAGGTTGTTCAAAGAAAATGATGCAAAAAATAATCAAAAGTTCGAAGAAATTTGGAAACTATGTATTTCTTAGCATTTTGAAGATAACAATGATACATCATTATCTTCCCATTCATAGATGTTAATTATTATGCCCATGTTTCTATTAGAAAGAAATTCTGATAGAAAAAAAAAAAGAAAAAAATAAAACAGAAAATATTTAGAGAAATAAGCAAATGTAACAACATAACTTCAAACCCACATCTCAAGAAGATGGGAGAATAAATGCATCAACACAAGTTTAATATCTTTTCAACTGCAGAATCAAGGTAAAACTTAAACCCCAATAGAATCTCATACATACATCAAAAATAACCTTGGAAATAACATCCTTGTACGGCAATAGTTCTCCAGTTATATTCAAATGGGCAATGTGACCTAAACAAGAATACCACACTTCATTATTATGCCAGGTAAATAAATAAGGTTATTCAAATACATACCAGAAACTTATTGTTCATGAAAATCCAGTAAAAGAAATTGAACAGCAATTCTTCCATAATGGACAGACACCACATTCAGAAAACAAGATGGAGATAGCAAAAAGCTTCATAAAGATGAGTCCAATTTGTGGAAGAAAATTGAACGAAAAACCCACAAGAAGGCACACAACCTATTGTTTCGAATGAAGAAGGTACCTCGACCCCTGCAGGAAGTATTTGCCTCAAGATATGGTCTGAAAATCAAAAGAGAAACAGAATCACAACTTAAATTGATGATCAAGGTTAGTGAACTCCATAAAAACCAAAATATATTCCATTTCAGAATTCATTCTCAGCTTGACATAAGAGTAGCACACATAAGTAAGATATTTTTAAATTCAAAGGAAATTTGGAACCAGAAACAGTGAGATGCATAAAGTGAACAGTACGCCCACACTGCTGAGTGCTGGCACCCTCACATAACCTGCCTTTTACCATATTTACAAAACTAAATTGATGTTAATGAGCCGCAGCCTAATTGGGTTATTTTTTATTGACCACTAGGCTTTGCGCTTTGAAGTTCCAGCTTAGCAAGAGAAAGAATAAGAACAAGGCATTCCAGTTTTAGAGACTCAATAATGCAGGGCAAAATATTTGAAGCAACCCATTGCTTTGTTTCAGTGAACAGATTACTAGTTCCGTATTTTCAACCAAAATAGAAAGATCCTGATTCAGATTGGCTACCAAATAAATGCTCACAAAAAAAGGATAATTATTAACTGATCTCTGAGATGTTTATTGGTAAGAATGACAATAACCTGATGCACATATTTCATCTAGTTGGGATCTTTTCACATGATTCTAGCATTGAAACTTGCTAGAGAAAGGAATTAACGCAAACACATGAAAATTCACCAATTCAAAACAAGATATAAGAGAAACTACAGATGGGGACATATGAAACCCTTATCGCAAAATACCCTTTAAACAAGCAGGGAATAAAACTGATCCATCTGACACTATGCATAATCTATCATCAATTCAAAAATGAATGGGGCCACCCAAAACAACAACAACAACAAAAACAAAACAATGAGTCTCCAGAGAACAACTACATGTCTACAAGCACAAGGGAATCATCAAAAGAAAGAAAAAGCTCTTATGGGGACTGGCCAATGACCTGCAGTCCAATAGGAATAGCCAAGGGTCAAAGTATAGGGAACCACATCAATTTCACATAGCTTCTTCAATTCATCAAGCTTTTGCTCAGGAATCTCCGATAACTCTGTTACAATTCCATAAAGCTCATCATTAGTCCTCAAAAACAGGAAACATTCAATACCATTGGTTGCAAATAATGATAAGAATGCTTACTTGTATTTTGAACTCTTTCTGATAAGACCACAAAACGGTTTAATTCACAACAAGGGTCTTGAACAACATGTTTGGTTCGCGGCCTATCTAGCAAGTACCTGAAATATTGAAAGCTCCAGAACTTTGCATGTGAGAAACTGAATGACAACATTATCCCAATGAAAATTTTCATTTTGAAAAATTATATAGTATATAGAAAAGCATAGCACTATCTTTCAAAATTTGTTAAATATAGATTTTCCTTTGAAAATGCATTAACTGCATAGATTATCAGATAAGGTTGTCCAGGATTCATGACTCCATGTATCTTTAAAACAGACTTCAAATATTCTCCAAAAACCAAATTCAATGCATAAAAAACTGCATCAAGAGCACAAGCAATAAGTGATTAAAACGTCACACTATGGCTCGGTCTTGCCAGGGGCCTGATTCAGCCTGGTCTGACTCATGCGAGTACAGGCCAGACCAGAGAATTTTCAGTAAGAAAAACAGCCCCCGCCCTATGAAAAATGGGAGACTCAGGCGATTTCGGGCTTTTGGCTACTAATACCCGGGCTCCCTGTTTGGTCTGACTTAGACAAGTCCCAACTGGAATCAGCAATTTTTTAACCACTGGAATCAATATACTAAAAAAGAAAAGACTTTTGCAACTATCAAATGGTAATAATCTCAGGTAAATTCTTGAATTAGGTGCTCAAAATGAGACTGCGTAAAGAGCTATATCCGTGTAAAGAATTTAGGAAAAAATATTCTGAAAACTAATACTGCACCAGAGTGAAATTTAACATTTGTGAGTGTATTTACAATCCAATCATCCAGAATCGTACCCATTCAAGATCCGAACAACTGATCCACACAGCTCACGGGGTATTCGAAGCGCCCATAGTTTCAGTTCCAAGATAAACTTACTCTCATCTAAAATTGCACTTTGATCGATGCTAGTATTACAACTCGCGTCCTCTTCTGCAACATATAATAATTTCTTCAAAAACCCAGCATTATTTCACGAACCCTAAACCCTAAAAAATTCTTCCGAACTCCAAACATTAAAATGAAGTATAACTAAGCTTGAAACATATTACAGACGATAACAATGTAACATGAAAAAGAAGGAAAAAAAGAAAAAAAAAAAAAAAAATCAAGAGCAGTGAGATGTAGCCATTGACGAACCTTGAAAGGCGGATTCGCAGTGAGGCTGTCGAGCCATGGATTTTTGAACAGGAATCGCCGCCATATTTGCGAATGAATCTTTCACAAAAATGGTTTAAGAGCCCTCGCACTAATCAAACGTCTAAAATGGGGAACAAGTTGCAATAACTAATGTACAGAAAATTATTAATCAGTTGTGCTAAAAGATTTACTACTCCCACGGGAGTATACTAATTATCTACTCCCTAGGGCAAACTTTAAGTTAATAGTGTCTTTTAGATCCCAAATTTTGGGATGAGATCTTTAGAACCGAACAACAACTAAACTTCACAAAAAAATATTTAAGAGCCCTCCCTCTTTATGTGACTAAAAAAAGGCATCCCAAGATTGCATTACAGCCTTAAAATTTTATGGGGGAATGATCTAGACGTTCAAGAACTTGAAATTCAATTGTTTTTATTTTTAAAAGTAATTTACTTTTAATTAGATGGATACCAAAATTTTAAATAAAAAAATTTAACCGAAATAATTGGTTTGTCCGAGGGAGTAAATCTATACTATGCTCCCGATCATATTAGACATGATCGTTTCCCTAATTTATTTTGTGTTTATTAGTTGTGTGTGGCGAGAGACTCTATTTCAATTTACTATGCACATTTTTAACTCTTTGATTGTTTTTATAATGGATAAAGTGAGAATATTTTTGTCAATTACGTTTTTCTTTTTTGGGTCGGGAATATTGGCTTCTACCTATCTAAAATAGTTAGTGGTTTTCAAATACAGGCCTCTGCCCATTTTAGAAATAGTTACTCATTTTCGAATGCGTCAATGAAAATAAAACTTAGTCATTTTAGAAAGGTAAAAAATTATATAAGGTTGAAACTTTAAAATGTAAAATTAAATATGCACCTCAAAAATCCATCAAAAAATGTGTTTTAATATTGAAAAACCCTTTTATTAATCATCTCGACATCAAGACGTATGAATATGAGAAAAACAAAGATTTTGAGTCCAAAAAATAGTGCATCTTGCAACAGATTATCTAGCCGTCAATTTTCAAGATTTTGATATATTTATAGATCTACTTGATTTTAATTATTTTTGGAGTTTAAAACATTATAATTAGATATGAAAATAGATTTTCAAAAAATCCTAATAATTTTTTGTACCAAAATTACATATTATGATAAAATTTAGAGGTGTGCTTTAATTGGATTGTTTAAGGTTGCAACCTTATAGGAATCACACCTTTTTAGAAATAGTTAGTGGTTTTCGAATACGTCAATAAGAATGAGACTCAGGTAGTGCTAATGTGGAGAAAGATAGATGCCAAAATACTGGAGCAATTGGCTTCTCAATTAGTGTAACAATGTTACACTATTCCAAAACTCACAACCAAAGAGATAGATTTAGAATAATCAATATGAGATGGAAGAAAAACTTTCATTCAAACATGAAAAATAGTGTACATAAAGGCATTACAATCTTGATACACAAGATAACTGTAGTACATATTAGCCAATTTTTTTACCATATACCTCTATTTAAATAGATGTTCTTACAACTATATTTACTACAATAACTACCCACTTACAATAAAAACTACTAACTACTTAGTAGATCCATAACTTCTTATTATACAAAATTATAAATATAACCTCACTACATTACTCAAAATAACTACTCACTTACAATAAAAACTACTAACTACCTAGTAGTTCTATAACTTCTTATTATACAAACTTATAAATATAACCTCACTACATCACTCAAAATAAAATAAAAACTAATATGATTTCAAAAACTATACTTTAACAATTTTAACAAACGACCCCAACCCCATTCCCAATTTTGTCAAATACATTTTGAGGTAAAAGAGCTATTGCTTCGTCCTTTTCAGCAACCACATTATAGGTGTGTTTTTCAATGGGAGCTGATATAGTGCCGGACCAAACAGTACATTTACTCCTTTAGGTAAAGGATTTTTATTTTCTTAAATAAAAAATTTTTGTAGCCCAAGTTTTTCAATAAAAGATATCAGGAACCAACCTTGAGCTTGAGTTGCTGAAGTTGTATTAGCAATGGTACATCGTAAGTTCCATTTCAACTACCAAAAAAAAAAGACATGAAATTTAGAAGGTCTAACTTGCTCTCTCTCTCAACCCGGAACCCTTTAGCCTGTTGGATCTTGACACCAATGTCTTAATCAAGTTGGGTCATGTTTTTTTTTCTTTTTCTTTTTTTTCCGAGCAGTTTAATGGTACGAATCGAATTTGAAAAATACCATATTTAATGTCAATTACTAACCAGTGAAGCCCAAGCCCAATTCCTAAGTTGGCTTCCGTCAAGCAACCCAAATCAACCGTTAAACTTTTCCTTTAAGGATCACGACTAGCCTTTTAAAGATAACTTTTGGAAATACTTGTATGTTAATTACATGGTAAAGAGCTTTTTCTTCTTTGTCCAGACCATATGTATATCTTTTCATAGCAATGTTTTTTATATTTCATAAGAGAAATACATTAATAATGAAGAAATCAAAAGTTGCAACAGGCAAACAAGCCACATAACTGAAATAAGTCGGGCCGAGCCGGGCCTAGGCATCACACAAATCAAAAGGGTTGGGTCTTGGGCAGAGCAAATGGTTTTGGGCCAGCCCCACAACATAATCAGGCATTAACCCCAACCAGCCCTATTACATTCAAGCTTTTCCCTGTCACTCTCTCATGGTTTTGGTTCATCTTTCTTTGTGACGTATGTGAACACAGACATACACAAACGCATCACAATTTACCATCACTAGGGTGAAGCATTTGGCGAGTCGGTCGGCTCATGTGTTTTTCGAGGGAAAGGACGTAAAACACATCCGAAAATCACTCTAAATCTATTTTTGCCTCAAATCCATGAATGTGGAACTTCAAAAGAAGTGGAGATCCAACTATCTTTGAAGAATGAAAATAAGCGGTAAAAAAATTTTATACAATAATGCAATGTTTAAAATAATGAACCGATGACTGAACCTATCACCCACTGGTTTCGAGTCCGACCGGTCGACTTGGCAATTTAAAAAATAAAAAACAAAAAGTGTTAACTAAAAATTATTGAATTTTGGTTGTTTAAAAAGTTTAAACAAGGTTTTAGGATTCTCAAATCACTTTAAAAATGATTTTTATAACATTAAAACACATAAAAAAGATAAATTTAAGGTGAATTGGTCCGAGTCCCTTTTTTTTTGGTTAAAATATTCCTTATCATAGTGGTCTAGATGACAAATACTCATATCAAGAAATACAAATTATCATTGAAGGATAACCTCTACAAGCTATGCTAAACCACATTTATCAACCAAACCCAGTTGTCCACCATCTCCTATTTCCCTATCAAACATTACAATGTTTACATGATACACTTCAAAGACCATTAATACTAACACTAACTCCCCATCATTCCCTTACATGATTAAGTGGTGACTCTGATTGAATCTTCTAAGGGAAGGGTGAAGGGACAGAAGACTCTCTCATTCTGTGATAAAACTAATTAGTATTTCTCTTTGGATCCTCAAAGGGAAGAGTAGATGGGAACTCCTGCCAATGCACCACCAGAATCAACCACAAATGCATTACCTGTTACATAATTTGAATCATCCCCAATGAGATACACAATTAGAGAAGTAAGTGCTGGATCTGTGGTACCAAGTGTTTGAAGTGGGTATGTCTTCTTCACCACTTTGTCTAACCAATCTTTCTCCAACAATGAGGAGGTTATCGCCGATTTGAAAATATCAGGCGCCACAAGGTTCACTTTAATGTTGTATTTACCCAGCGCAATCGTCATGTTCTGCTTCATGCAAAATTTGGCATTCTGTCAAATGAGAATATAGGAGAGAGAGAGAGAAATGAGGTTTAATAAATTTGGAATCGTATAGTTTAAGCTTGTTTATTTTTGACACGAGAATGTTACAATCATCTTTAGCTGTTCTGCAAAAATTTTGATATAAATTTTTTTAGACTTTGAGCACGGTCAATAGCATATTTATAAATGTTCAATTTCATACTTAACGGCTCAAGATGATTGTGATTTTCTTATGGGAAAAATATCTAGATTATTGTATTTTGTCCTATAAAATCCTCACTAGTTTCTCAGATCGTCATAATGTAGCTAGTTTCCATTTTTCAAATTTTAGATGCCAACTAGGAGATAGAATTTAACCTGGTCATGAAACCACCCCTTGATTTTGATACACCATACCAAGATAAAATTGAGCCCACCAACTAAGGTGATATTGATCACAGAACCCTTGATATGTGCATCACGCATGAAGGCACACACATACTTAGTTACAGGCTATGTCCCCTTTAGATGGTTGCCATCAAAGTTTTCCAATCCTCCTCTTTCAAATCAAATGGAGTATGAATGGTTCCTTATAAAATCAAAATAGAACAACAAGTGTTAGACCCGTGGTCCAAAAGAATTCAAACACTTTTCTCTACACCTACGATAAAATTATATACCATGATAAAATTTGAAGGTGCACTTTACCTCTACACCTACGGATGCATCCGTATGCAAATTGCACCCTAAGAAATTAATATTTTTTATAGGTGCGCCCCAATGAGAAGATGTCATGTACCAAATTTCATATTCATACAATTTATATTAAAAAAACTAAAAATAAAATACTTTGAGACATTAGATCTAAGATCAAACAATGAGTGACTCTCTTGATCAAAATTGAATGGCTGGATAGTAGGGGGAAGATAGAACTTCTATGCTGTAAAGGAAGCATAGAAAACTTTCCCTTTTATTCAGGGCAGTTCGACGGGAAAGGGGTCTCCTGCCCATTGTAGGAATGTGACTTGGGTGATGCCCTGTTGTAATTATAGTTAGCAAGTCAGGGATTATCAAAATATATGCTTTCCACTATAATTAGCAAGTAAGAGAATATCAAAATATGGGCTCACCACAAAAATTGGAATTAAATCAGTTTTGTTCTAAAAAGTCGGACCAACAAATTCGGGACAAAAATATAAATTGGCAAAAATATTGTATGTAAAAGTATCACAAATATATCGGATTGGATAGAAAAAATCAACTATGTTTAAAATTTTAAAATTTAAAAAATAAATAATTAAAAAAAACAATCAATAAATAATAAAAAATTTACTGCAATAATATAATTAAGTCAATCAATTTAGCTATCTCATTATTCTCCTTAGGCTTTCACCCTCTCTCTCTGCCTTTAGGTTCTACCCATTCTCTCTCTCACTATGCCTTTAGGTTCTACCCATGCTCGCTCATGAAAGTTTATTTCTCAAGAATATGGAGGGGAAACAAATTTTTTGGCAAGGAATGTATTTTTTTGGACAAAACTAACACGACTTTTTAGATTAGAAAATAGAAATTTCAAAAAAACAAAAAACAAAAAAGGTACATAAACCTTTTTGCAAGCAATAAACTGCAAGTTTACCCCCCCAAAAAAAAACCAATAAAAGAAAAGTTTTATTTTGAAAGAGTGAATATAACACGATTTTTTTGAGTTAGGTAGAAATATAAATTTCAAAAAAGAAAAGAAAAAGGAAGCTTTCAGAACGAAACTTTTTTACAACAAAAAAAAAAGAAAAAGGAAAGTGTTTTTTAACCATATTATGAAATTACCTAGGCTTTATGAAAGCAAAATAAAAATAGAAATTTCAAAAAAAAAAAAAATAGCTTTCTAAACGAAACTTTTTTACAAAAAAAAAAGAAGTGTTTTTTAACCATATTTTGAATTGATGAGGTATTTATAAGTCCCTGGCTTTATGAAAAGAAAATAAAGCCTCACCTTAAATCCTTGTTTGAAAAGTACTTTCGGCGAAGGAAATATCTATTATGGCTCTAAAATCGATTTCCAACACTGACATTAAATTTTGAAACTTAGAAAATGATACAGATCTTATGGATCTGTGAACACTTATTTTTAAAATGAAATTGATAGTCTAAATAATTTGTTACAATATACACTATTTTTAGAGCTTGAAATTCTAATTGTTTTTCACAACCATAATGTTCAAGTTGATGGGGCGCAAGGTCGGCTCCTTTCCCCTCACGTATCTGAGTCTTCCCATTTTTTACTCGTGGCTTACTATTGCAGTATGGGATATTATGCTTGAAAGAGTACAAGTCAAATTAGCTCTATGGAAGCACAAGTGTTTATCTTTGGGTAGAAGGGTGACTTTATTGAGCTCTTGCTTATCTAATCTTTCGGTTAACTAAATGTCTTTGATCAACATGTCTGCTTCAGTTGCAAAGAAACTAAAAAGAAAGATGCAAGATTTTCTTTGGGGCTCCACTACTGAAAAGATGAAATTTCATTTTCTAATATGGGATAAAGTTTGTACCCCCAAGAGAGAATGTGGCCTGGGCATTAGAAATATTAGACTGGTAAACCAAGTTTTGATGTGCAAATGGTGGTAGCGCAACCTCCATCTGAAGGATCATCTATAGTTTAAAGTTCTTTTGGCCAAATATGGGATAGACAGATGTAGTGTTTGGCTCGAGGGTGGAAGAGGCAAAAATAGTGTCTCAGGTATGGAAGGCTATCTACAATTACAGGCCCATGGTGTCAGGATACTTTAGGTGGAATTTAGGTGATGGTAGATAAGTATCTTTATGACAACACAAATGGTTGGGAGACTATCCATTGAAGTCAGTCTTTCTTGATTTATATGGGATAGTGACCTGACCTGATCTGAAAGTTAGTGAAGCGGTAGATTGAAGGGGCCATCTTACATCATGGAATATCTCCCTGGCGTATAGTCATTTGAGCAATGTAGTATTTTCCCAATGGTATGCTTTGATGGACATGCTGAATAAAGTCTATATCTAGTTGAATGTAGAGGATGAAATGATCTGGGAGCTTGAGAGTGATGGGGTGTTCTCTGTTAAATCATATTACAATTTGTACTTTCATAATCGATGGAGATGGTCTTGCCCTTAGATTGTTCAGATATGGAAATGGCCCATCCCACATAAAGTTCAGGTATTTATTTGGTTGGCGGCTATGAATAAGGTTTTCACTGTTGATAATCTGATCAAAAGAGGAATTTTTTTTACCAAATGTATGTCTCCTTTGCAGAGCTGATGGAGAGTCTGGTGCGCACCTCTTCATCCATTGCTCATTCACGGTAAGAATTTGGTTTTGGCTCTTTGGGATTCTCGTGATCAATTTGGCTCTCCCTTCTTTGGTTGCAGGGATTGTATCACAGTTTTTTATTTCTCATTTACCAAAGACTGGAAAAATTATTTGGAAAATAGCAAAAGGTGTCATTCTTTGGGAAGTGTGGAAGGAGAGAAATAGAAGGACATTAGAGGAATCTTTTGTCTTTTGAGAGATTATTAAATAACATCAAACTTTCGATTTGGTCTTGGCTGTCCGTACTAAAGAGGGGTGGGGTATCTCCAAGCTTGATGTTATGGCTAATCTAAGTAGCCTTTTCCTTCTTGGGAGTGTCGGAAATAGACCACGATGCATTTGGACTGCGCCTATTTGTAGAAGCTTGAAGCTAAACTTTGATAGTAGATCTCGGGGAAATCCGTGTGTAGCTGGGATTGGTGGTGTTTTGCGTGATTCCTCGGGTAATATCCTATTCTCCTATGCTGGTCCGATTGGAGTTAAAACTGCTAATTTTGTTGAATTAAGTGCTTTACTGAGTGGGGTGAAAATCTTGGTTGATAAGAATCTTGGTATAAATTGTTGGATTGAAGGGAATTCTTTAAATGTTATTAGATGGTGTAACAAAGAACAGAAGATCCCCTGTGAGCTTCGATCCCTCTGGTTGCAGGTTATGGATTTGGTGGAAGTTTTGTCAGTTTCTTTCAACCATGTGTATCGTGAAGCAAACTCTTTAGCAGATTCTTTGGCTAAGGGTGGTCCTTCTTTACCTTCTCTTGTTATTTCTAATGATGTAATTTCATTTTCTTAGTCAACAGTAAAAGTTATGAACATTTGTCAAAAAAAAAAACAAAAAATGTTCAAGACGAGATTCTCGATATAAAGGTTTTTCAATGCTTCTTGTAATTTTCGATGAGCTATGAAGTGAGGATTTATTTATTTTGATAGGGTTGCAGCCCTATCAAACCATTTTCCTTTTATAAAAGGCCTATTTAGATGGCTTATATGTTGATCATGTGAGGTTTCTTTGGGAATACATTCTGTGAAACTTTACGGATTTCTTTGGATTTGGACTGTTCAAGTGATCTGGTAATCCTATAATGCACGGGAAAGCTTTTAAGGGTGTGAAAAAACCTAATGACCTGTTTGGTAACTGGAAGCAGAGATCTATTAGAATATAGAAGATCTACCTTCCTGAAAGCTGGAATATAGATATCAGAAATTGGCAAATTCTGTGTTTAATAATCAATATAGAATTTTAAAGAAGTTTGGGAACCTCTGTTTGATTGAACTAGCGACTTCTGGAAATTCGGAGATTTCAAAATGAACCGGATATAAACATTTATTGAATTTATGGAACTATCCATTTTCTGAGACCTACATAGCATGTCTCCATCTCAGAACATGTTTCCATGGTATTTTCCTATTTAATATCACATTTTATTTGTCAAAATTTCCATTTATTATCTTTCTATATGTCACAAGAGACAGGGAGCCACTTGAAGAAAACATACTACACATTCATAGGAAAAATTATGTCTGACTAACCATGGTGTCAATTTTTGAAGTTTAAAGATACCATTTTGAAAACTGAAGTTCTCATGCAAATGAAAAGTAAAATAGGCATTTCATTTGATAAACCCCAAAGAATTTGAAAATTCAATGTTTTATGCAAACAAAAATTAAAAATGCATTCTTTTTCATAAAGGAAAAGTATAAAAATGAGACCATTTACTTTTGATACAAAAAGGTCTCAATCATCATTGACCGTTAGATTTGAAATCAAGCGGTTGAAGACGTGTCATTGTTTAGCCACAAAATCCAAAAAAATGTTTTTCAAATGTTATGAAATACTTTCATCTATGGATTTCACATCCAATGGCTAAAAATGACTGCTCTCTTTGTACAAAAAATAAATAATCTCATAGTATACAATCCCTTTCATTAAACTAAAAATCTGGTTTTATATCACAACCCATAAAAGTCGAGCATTATAGTTACAAATTGACAATTCTCTAATAGGCGTTTTTACAGGAGACTTTCGAAATTTCTAGGTTTTGTTTCCATAAAAATAAGACAAGTCTCGGGATTCTTTTAAGAAAAGGGAAATAGAATCCTATTTTCATAGCTGAGCTTCTATGAACCTTGTGTTTTTTAAAGTTTATGAGTAATGTTTTTCTACTAAACTTTTGTATGCATAATTTCATTCTTCAGCAAAATTTCAGGTCAAAAAGAAAAAAGTAAAAGAAAAAACCCGTGAATAAAAAGCTCGTATTTTTCACAGGAATTTCATAAAAAGAATACATATATTTTACCTCTATGTTTCAAGTGAAATATATTTTTCACAATTAAACTCCATGCTTATGAATAGACTTTGAAGTATTGAATTTGCAGTCTTTTTCAATACATTTTTCCGGTTGATTAGCTGATATAAAAGCCTTGGATTCTGCTGATCAGCAGTGTGGCCCTTATGAAATAACCTCTCTTACGAGGGAAATACTGCAGACATGCAGTATGTATAATTGTACGTATAAAGCCAGTACTTCAAGTGTCCATTCAAAAAATGGAGAGTGATTTGCTGATGTAGGGATATGGCCTGTTTGAACTATGTCAGTTGATGCTACGATTCATCTGTACGGTTCGTTCTCTGGATGTGACAGCGAAAGCATGCTTATCTACCTTCTAGCATACACACATGCTTCCCACTAGCAATGTTCTCTTTCTGAAATGTAGGAATGTTTTAAGGTGGTCATAGTTTAGTTAAAACTATAACAGAACTTCCAATTCTGTAGAAAATTTTCAAAGCAATCACTCCTTATCCGTGCACAACTCAAGGGTAGTAGATTGGTTTGAAAACAGAATGTCAATTTTTTGGAATCCAAAGGAACAAAAAAAAAAATGATGTTTATTGGAGCAATTCAACACCTATTCTGCAACACATCTGCCTCAACTTCAATACACAGGCCCCAATCTCTCTCTCTCTCTCTCTCTCTCTCTCTCTCTCTCT